ATCTTCTCCAGTGGAGCCTTAAAGAAATGACAGCGTGGTTTTGCTGTTCCCGGTTCGGGCTTTCTCTTGTGGCAGTCGCGTTCCGATGCTATTCTCCGTCGTATTTTTGGTAGCACAGTAAGATACTGATACTGGAGGCAGCTCAGTTATGCGCTGAGCTTTGTCATGGGGAGGGATGGGAGAGGGCCTAAAGTTTTACCCGCTCGGCCTTTTTGTCATGCTGGTAGGGGTTGGGGCTGGGTGTGGAAGGCAAGCGCCTGAGTGCTCGGGCTGCGCGGGGAGACAGGAGTGAGGAATTGCTTCTCTGTGCGATGCAGCCCTTGTGTTGGAGGGAGAGGGCCCTGAAATGGACTCCGGCGGTGGTGAGACGGGGGCGCCCGGCAGGGCTTCGGGCCGGCGTGCTGTCACTGATTTACACTGCTTGGCTGGTTGGGGGTGTTCGGGGCTTGTGCCTGTCCTTTCCATGCTGCGGCCGTGCCTCCCTCCCTCCCTCTCGGCCTGATCTAAGCTAACGCAGCCAGCCACCCTGCCTCCACAGTGGAGAGGGAGATCGGAAAGAGACTTTACAGCTGCCTGGTGCTCTGTTGCTCAGCTTTGCCAGTTCCTACTTTTCGATCGCTTCCCATTTCATGGTGGTGTCCTGAGAGCAGAATCCAGTCCTTTGCTCCAGGCTGATGAGGGAAATCGTGTGTGTTTGCTCTGCAGGTCCAGGGTGGCTTAGGGGGCGTCTGACCCACTCCTCACTTGTGCCATAGTGGGGGCAGAGCGCTGTGAAACTTGCAGCCGAGAGGTGAGGATGCCTAGGTGCAGAGCTGGGCTCTGCAGAATCTGTGCAGTGCCTGGGTTTGTGCCTGTGGTGGGTTCCCTAGTACTTCATGCCCAGTGTGTGCTGTAACTTATACCTGCATGCCAAGGGGGGTGCATGCCGGGGGCTGGCAGGAATGGGCACTGCACCCACCCTCTCTTGTGGGTCGTGATGGCTGTGGGGAGAGCTGTCACTTGTGGTCTCAGCTCCTGTGATTCATTGTGCCCATTACTCACTCTGTGGTTCCTTCTGCTTTGGTTTTCCTCTCTCCCTGCATCCTGCACCCAACACTGTGGGAGATAAGCACTGCCACCCCCTGTCCCTGCAGTGATCTCTTGCTCGGGGCTCTGGGTTTGCACCACGTTGGGCTCTGGGTTGCAAGCCCCACCAGCTGTGAAGCCTGTGGAGGGTCTGGAGTTCCAAGTGCTGCATGTGGTAACTTGGTATAGCAACCTCTGAACGGTGTCTAGACCCACTTCTGTGATGCTTTTAAGTATCCAGCTGGCAAAGGCCTCCAAGCGATAGGCTCCTTCATTTCTCATGAGCAAGCTGCACTGGCCCGTGGCAGAGATGGGGGAGGGAGGAAGGGAGCATGAAGGAGGCAGTGTTTAGTTTAGTTAAGAAGGGGTTGCTGCTATTCTTGAAGTCTGATTTTTTTTTTTTTTTTTGGAGGTGCTGAGCACCAGAGCTGGTGGAAGCAGAGAGTGGTTAGAATCTGCGTGGATTAGGTACACGATGTCTTTTGGCATCAGAATCTGCTTCAATACAGGAACTGTGTCTTCCTCCATACAGAACACGGCACGTTCTGGGCGCTGCTGTATTATAAATAGCTCCCCTTTCTAGCTCTGGTCAGCAGGAATGATCCTGCTCTGCTTTGAGTCTCCCAGACAAGCCTGAGCCCGTGCCTTGGCTTAGCGAATGCAGTGGTAAAGCCGTGTCAGCGCAGACAACTAGTTCATCCGGATGCATCTGGGAGCCTTGTTTGAGCAAATGTCACGTGCCCCATGGAGTCGAAGTGCTAACTAAGAAATGAATCCTGATGGCTTTGTGCCGAGCCAGCAGCCCTACCTCGGCACCAGGCCACTCCGGAGAGATGGTGCAGCAAAACCGTGTCTAATGTTTGGCAGGCCAGAAGAGACGCCAGCCCTGCAAAGGCCTCTGCCCTTGTTACCACGGCAAGTCGTTGCCTGGAGTGGGGTCAGTCATTTGGGAGTAAATGAGGGTGGGGGTCACTGGGACAGCCTTGCCCTCATGCTGCTGCCTGATTCCAGCCTTCTTCATCCTTCCCCCCTGCTCCCAGCCCCTGATGTATCAGGTGTCTATCTTGTTTGGAGACCATTTGCCCATTCGGCCCCCACCATCTCCTTTTTTTAGGATGAGCATGAAAAGCACTAGTCAAGCCGCGCCCTTGTTCCTTATCTGGTGAAAGACATAAGCCGAGCTGAAAATCGCTGTGTCTAGACTGTCAAAACCCAAATTAAAATGGGTTCCCCACCTCCCTACTTATCCTGGAATGAGAGGTGCTATACAGTATACATGCCAAGTGTTTTATATTAACTCCTGGGCGGATGGTGGATGCTGGTCCTACAGGTGCTAGGGCATTGTAAGGAAGGGAGCAATGTTCATTTCTGATCTACAGCTCTGTGCGTGCCCCACGTCGGTCTTGGCACTAACTGAATCCTTTCTGAACAGCGTTGGTGTCTGAATCAAGCAGATTGTAATTTGGATTGACGGGACTGTGCATTGGTTTAGTGATTGCTGTGGAGTCTAGGCATGGCACTGGGACTAGGAAGACCCGCGTTTGCCTCCTGCTGTCCTGTGTTTCTTGCTCAGGTTTCCCACTCTGTCCTGCAAGTGGGGGGAGGTAGAGGGCAATTGTGCTGTGATGGGGAATAGGTGATGCGAGATGTGAGAGCAGCTGCCCCTTCCTGACCCTGTCAGCAGGGTCCCTGCAGAGCCCCGTGTGCCTGTGAGATATCCCTTGGCCGTGGCTGCTGCTGGCACTCTCCGATAGTGGCCAATACTATTCTTTCTCGCCTGTGATGTTCTCTGTCTTTCCGTTGTAGCAGCTCCACTGGGGCTGACCAGTGGCTGTCAGCTCCCATCACAGCCTGCAGACTCCCCACCTTCCACCCTTTCCTCTCCTTGCCTCCCTCCATCTGCCAGCCACCTTGGCAGGGAGACTGCGGAGAAGTCATAATCCAATTTCGGCACTTGAGTCACGCTTTGCTAACCACGCTGCTGGCCAGTGCTCGGGAACTTTCATCTGCCTAATGACCCAGCTAGGGGACTGGGTGGATGGACGGACAGCCAGTCGCTGGATTGGGGTTTTCCTGTTGGGAACAAATGTGGGCCCCTTACCAATGCATCTGTGTGCTTGTACAGTGGGGAGGGGAGGGAGCAGATCAGGATATACTGGCCTTGCAATTTTTAATTCTCTTCCCTCTGTCTTCCTATCACCCCCCTCTCTTATTTCTTCCTTCCCCCCTTTTCTTTTCTTGTAAAGATAAACCCTCCAGGCAAGGCAGGTTTGCAATATACTATTATTTCCAGGAATGCTCAGCCAAGAAAAATAAAGCGCGTCTCTCTCTCTCTCTCCCCCTTTGGTTGCCTACTGTTTAATGTACAAAATACAGGGGTGGTAATTGCATTAAAATGTATATAATTATACTAGACGAAAAAAAATCTTGTTAATTGCACGAGTGTTTTGAACTGATAAGTGTTGAGTGATTCATGTTTTCTTAGGAGTTCACCAAAGCAGAGCTGTAGTCCACAATGCATAAGGTTAGGCAGGGGCTTGTTTTCATGCTGTTTGCAGAGAGTAATCTCAGCCTTTAGCATCTGAGCCGACTTGGGAATCTCCTCCATCTCCAGCATGTGATCCTATGCTGGTGGTAACTAGGGCTTGGGTTTTAAAGAGTTGGGTAGCTGCGTGTTCAGGCCCCAATGCAGAAAAAACCTGAAGTGCACATGCTTTGCTTTAAACACTGAAGTAGTCTCATTGACTGACTGCACCTTGCAGGCCAAAGAGCCGGAAAGCACGCTTTCCCCCAGCTGGGGGTAGGGAGGAAACTTTCTCATGTGATATTTGCCGTAGCTCAAGTAAGGTGCATTGGGAGTTTGTGGCCTGTCTGGGGTCAAGGTTAGAGGCAGGGCAGTGGTGCCTGTGGACCAGTGTGAGAAAATGTTTTAGAGCATTTGCTGTGTGGATCTCTGTCTCCACGGAAAGGACAGAAAGGATTGACTGGTTAACTGGACGCTGTTGCTCTGAGAACTTGCCCTAGTTACAGATAACACCTAAGGCAAGTGTAGCAGGAATACATTTGTCTCCTTTGTGAGTTTATGGGCTTTTTCTGTAAATGGTTTTGCTTTTCCTCTCTATTGTTGGTTAGTTTCTTCTCTGCTTTAAGGACACCAGCAGGAGAACTGGGGACCCTTGAAGATAGCTTTAAAGAAATCTAGCAGGATGGAGCTGAGCAGCTCAGGCATTCAGAGAGATTGGACTAGACTGGATTCCAGGTGCAAATTTGAAAGTCGTTTTTGGAGACTGGATGTGTCCATTAATCAGACCTGGCTCTTTTAAGGAACTTGCTTCCCCGCTCTGAGTTTGCCTTGTGTAAATTGGGATAATAACAGTTAACTGTAACCGGTGATGTTCATAGTGAAGCTGAACTCGTGAATGAGTGTAAAGCGCTTTGAGATCCTTGCGGTTGCGGGAGCTAGGGAATGGCTGAGTTGTATCAGATTCTCTGTGGAAGAGGGAATGATTTCCTAATCCCTCTTGAAAGCAGAGCGCTGGAGTGTGCAGTGGGGAGGTTGGAGCTGCTGCTGCCTTCTAGCAAACGTTTAAAATTCATTTTCTCTCAAGTCTCCTGTGCTGCAATGTCACACCTCCCTCCACCCCCAGCTCCTCTTCAGTCAGTTTTATTCCTAGAAGTGTTGGCATGAAAACAGGAGCCCTGATTTAAAAAAAAAAAAAAATTTCTTATGCATCCGTCTGTAGTTCCTAATTGGAGGTCCCCATCCGTGGCAGTCACCTCACTTCCTTTGGGGTGTTGTGGGTGGGAGGGGGCTGTGCTCTCTGGTGGGCCGCGAAGCAGCCTAGGGATCTCTTCTAAAGTGGAGAACCTGTTTTACAGGCTGACGTGGTCGGGAAGGAACGTGGGAGCAGATGCACAGAGAACGCAGGAGGGAGATCCGCGGGATTACTGCGTGTTGGGAGCGGGGAGTGTCGAGAGCCCTCCGAACCCGGAGTGGGCCTGGGCAGCAGTGACACGTTATGAATGTCATGGTAGCTTTGTGAGGCCACAGCGGAGGACAGGGCCTTGCGTTAGAAGCCACTCACATGCTTAGAAAGAGTCCCTGCCCTGGAGTGCCTTGAGCCTCGATGGCTAGATGGAAGTGGGGAGGAAAATGGAGCGCCCAGGAAGTGACCTGCCAGGGCTGATGCCATAGACCAGTACATAGACTCCCGGGGCTGGATCCTACCCCCTCTTAACAGAGCTCTGTAAGTTTGTCAGGGATGTGAGCTGGTGGGATGGGACTGTGCTTGGGCACCTTCCTGTTGTAACAGGATCAGGGGCCCAAGTCTCCTGACTCTCAGTTGCAGTACATCGCAGTGTGCCACGTTGCAGCGTGATACACAGCCAGTCCCTTCTCTCTCGTGCTGTGGGCAGGGGGCTGGGCTCTTACAGCTACTTTCATTCTTATTACTGGATCTCTGTGCTGGAAAGGTGTTGGTTTGGCAAGCAGTAGAGGCAAGTGTTTCTTCCACGCTCCCTCCCTGGCATTGGGCCTTCAGCCTGGCTTGCAGTGGGAGGTCCAGGGGACATGGCTCCCCCCTTGTGCTCTTTTTCTGCCCTGAGGTTATGACAGTGTCCTGTGTGATGTGGACACATGTCCCCAAGGTGCTGAAACCCTGGTTGTATTTCCTCTGTGCACAGCCATCAGACATCAACATTGCCTGCCCGCCCTTGACCCAGGCTGGATTTGAACCACGGACTTAGACAAGAGCGCTGCCCCAGTATCGCTCTCTGTACCAGGAGCTTCTGCTGCATCTGAAAGGCCTTGCACCTCTTCTTGGCCCTGGCTGGGCTAGCCGTGCTGTCTGAAATGTCATGTGGACACAGCCTTTGTACGTACGTGTGTGTGTGTGTGTGTGTGTGTGTGGACACAGCCTTTGTACGTACGTGTGTGTGTGTGTGTGTGTGTGTGTGTG